GCGGGGAGAAGGGTGCAACAATGAATGAATGGAATTCCAAAATCTCTGTAGATGTTCATTGAAATGAAAAATAAACTAAATTTAAAAAAAAAGAAAAAAAAGACATGCACCTTTGGGATCATGGCACAGCTTCTTACCACTAGGCCACCCGAACTTCCAAAAACCACATTTTTAAAGGCTTAAGAGGAACCAGGCAATGCATAATTAACTGTAAAACAAAGGTGAAAATGAAAGGGGGCAGAGAAACTACATTAGTGGAAACAGAATGCCTGTACTGTTGTATGAACTTTCACCAAAACACAACAAATACTTGGCTATTGGAGAAAGTCCTTAAAGCAGCTCACTGCCTCATCTTTCTCCTGAGTGCCAACTTCAGACCCACAGCAACAGGGCTGCTTCGTGAAGAGCATGCATTGCTAATTGTAGTCTTTATTTTACCCATTTGGGGAATTACAATAAAAATTTGTATTTCCAGGAGTAAAATGACATAGCAGAATATTCTAGACTAAGTGAAAAGAAGTCTTGAACTATTTTTATCTCATTTGCATTTTAAAGAGGTATTATAGTGTACATTGGGGGGGGGGAAATGGAAAGATAAACCCAGAAATTTAGCAATGATAAATTCTGAATTGTGAACTTGCAGATAATGTTCACTCCTGTGCTTTTCAATATTTTCCAAGTTTCGTTTTTAGAAAAGCATTTTCCATTTTAGAAAAGTGTTTTTTGATACATTTTATTATTAATGGCTAAATGGTGACCACCCACAGTATGTTTTAAAGAGTAGTTTATCTTTCTGTATCAAAGTAGTTCTTAAAAAGAATTCTTATGTCTAGAATTATAAAGGAGGAGCCCTCCTAGTGTAACGGTTAAAATCTTGTCTGCCAACTAAAAAGTTGGATGCTCTGTACAGGACGATGATTTGGCAATTTGCTGCATGGACAAGAAAATTCTAAAAGTAATTCTACTCTGTCACATGGCTTTGTCAGAGTCAGGATCCACTTGGTGGCACCAAATAGGAAAATAAAAGTTGGAAAGCGATTCGTTACTCAGAAGCTACTTTACTGCAACACTGAGCTTGGAAAGGCGGAGGGGGCAGCGAAAGAGAGGAAGACCCTCAACCAGCTGGACTGCAGCAAAAACCAGTGACTGCAGCAAAGGGCTTGATTGTTTCAGAGATTGTGAGGATGACACAGGACAGGACAGTGTTTAGCTAAGTTGTTCACAGGGTCGCTATGAATTGTGTTTGACCCGACCACCCCTAAAAACAACATAGAGAGCAGAACGAGCTCTTGTGACTCGGGTTTAAGCTATCAGGCTAAGAGGGCAGCCTCTCCGTGTAAAATGTGCAGCCGTCAACTGGTGGAGAATCACCATGATTCGAAATAGAAGGCAGTAGGTTTCGTTTTGGTTTGTTTGGCCCAAAAAAATTACTAGAAGAGGCTGACTTCACGGTGCTGGAAAGTCACATAAAATAGGTAAGATGGCCAAAGGTACCACAGGTCACACTGTGTGTGGCTTCGAAGCCAGAGGGCTGGCCGAGTGTCTAAGCGGTCCTGGCTCGGCGATGAAGGGGTCTCAACGGAGGTCACCGTCGGCAGGCGCCGGCAGGAGGCCCGCCCAGAGGCTGAGCCCGGCCTGGAGTCTGTCCAGAGCTCTGCTCACTGGACATTGGCTCCCACACCGGTCTTGCTTCACAGGCGTCCTTTGCACTGCAGGCTTCAGGGCGCTCAGCCTCGCTTGCCCTCCTGATCACGGCTGGGGAGGACTCTTAGAACCATCACCGCCGCTCAGACCCCAGAATCCGTGCGCCTGCGATGGAGGCGACGCGGGACGCAGCGGTCGAGCTGCTGTTCTATGTGAACGGCCGCAAGGTGAGCGGGGCGCGCGGGCCAGTGCGGGCTGAGCGGGCGCGGTGAGCGGGGCGCGCGGGCGGAGCGGGCAGAGCGGGCGCGGTGAGCGGGGCGCGAGGGCGGAGCTGGGCGCAGCAGGCCCGCAGCCGGGGCCCAGGCGGCTTTTTCACCGCATGGACCGCTGAGGCAGAGCTTCCAGCTTGGAAATGGCTTTTTTAAAGTCTTTTTAAAAATACTGGTTTCTTTACAAAGTTCGAATACGTTGTTTTTCTCACTGGATCTTTCCCATTTCCTTCACCTTCACCCCTACTCTCCTCCCTGGTGGAATTAGCTTTTGACCCCAGGACACACAAACGATGTGTTTCCAGGGGCTGACAGAGCTGGATCCTTGAGCTCACTCCTCTTGTCACTTTTTCCTTCTTTAAAATCTGTGGGTCTCACCAAAGCCACCTCCTAGCTTGCTCGTTAGTGAGGTGCATTGCGGAGCAGAACTGCTGCTCCCTGATGGTTTCAAGGCTGTGACTTTTGGAAGTAGATCTGATCCCCTGAGTTTCCTCCGTGTGAGCTTGAATCTCTAGCTTTTCCATTTAATAGTCCAGCACTTCAGCCTTTCTGCCATCGTTTTCCTTTCCCTGCTCCCCGCCTCCCCCAGAAGAAAGCAGAATTGTTGGCAGAATTCCAAATCTCATCTCCTCCAAGCCCCAACTGACATGAAGAATCTCTTCTTAGACTGGGGTCTGCTTCTCAGTCCATGCTAAGGGTTTGAGGTTGAGACAGAATCGTTGTGTTAGGTGTTCTCAAGTCAATTATAAGGCTTGTGAATAACAGATCTGAACCCTGCCCTATCCTGTGCCATTCTCATGATCTCTGCCATGCTCAAGGCCATTGTCAGAGTCACTGTGTCAATCCATCTTGTTGAAGATCTTCCTCTCTTTCGTTGGCATGCCTTCCTGAGTATCATGCCTTTTTCGAAGAACTGACCCCTCCTGATAACATGCCCTTTGTTTATTAGACAAAGGTTCACCATCCTTGCCTCTATGGAGTAATCTGGTTGCATTTCCTCCAAGACGGATGTGTTTCTCTGTTTAGCATCCTCTGTTATATTCAGTAGTCTCCTACACCACGATTCAAAGGCACCAGTCCCTTTTGGCCTTCGTAATTCATTGCATAGAAAGTGACTGGAAATAGCAAGACTAGAATCCCTAGGGTGCACACCTTAGTCTTTAAACCCACAACTGTTGAGGAACTAATTCAGCCCTCCCATCAAATCTCAAATGTAATTTTCCAATGTCACAGCTAGTTCCTGGCAGAGCTGAACCACAGCTGAGCTCTGGGAACTCCTCAGTCCCTGCTGTGCACACACACTGTGATCTGGGAAGCAGGGTTCACTATGCAAGATCTGTAATGAAGTTCTGACTGTGTCTGAAGTCTGGGGCAACAAAGGCTTCAGCTGCTTTTTAAAACACCTGTAAAGATTGATCCTCACCTCTGCTTATAATCCAACATAGGGTTATTGCTTTGCAAGGGAAAACCTGAGGCAGAAGGACTAAGAGGTTTTCTTAAGAACTGAACACCAAGCAAGGGTTTGCTGCCTGACTTCAGTGGTGCTGGGTCTCAGATCTTTGGAGCTACCTATGACCCTGTTTGAGGAAGTGGCAGCCTGGCTTTCTCTGTTTGGCTCAGTCAACACACTAAGAGGCTAATAAAGCTTAAAGGGTCAAGGCTCTCCTTTGTGCCTGCCTCTTTCTTAAAAAAATGTTATATATAATTTTAAAAATTTTATATGAGTTTGCATACTACATTCATATACATTGTATTTCACACTTTCCTTCATTCACATTGTTTAAATCAATCATTCCCATACATTTAAATGTTAGTATTTAAAAAAAATTATTTTATATTGATTTGCTTATAAAGTTCTTCATATACATTATGTTTCGCACTATCCTTCATGCACATTGTGTTTCATACAGTCATCCCCATTCATTGTTTTATAAAATTAATCACCATTGATTGATCTATGCCCACCATTGCCCTGTCTTTCCAGATCCCTGCTGGATCTTTTCCCATTTCCTTCACACCCCCTCCCTCCATCCACCAAAGTATGGGACCCTATGATTTGCCTCCACCCATCCTCATCCCTCTGCTATCACCCCACCCCTTGGATCCTCATACATATTTTACTAATTTTCTTTCTATTTCTATAATAATGGTCTTACGTAGTATTTGTCCTTATGAGACTGACTCAGCATAATGCTCTCCAGTCCTCCCAAAGTTATAAAGTAATTTTTCCAAATCATTGCACCATAGTATTCCATTGTGTGAATGTACCACAATTTCTCAATCCATTTGATTGTGATTGGATATTTGGGCTGTTTCCATGTTCTTACGATTGTGAATAATTGTAGCTGCATCTTTAAAGGTCCTTTCTGTAAATAACGTAGCATTTGTGAATATGCACTATTGTTGTTAGGTTCAGTGGAGTCAAATATGACTTGATAAACAACAGATCTGAACCCTGACCTATTGGGTGCCATCTGTACACTTTCTGACACACTAAAGGCCATTGTGGCAGTCACTGTATCAATCCACGTGGTTGAGGGTCTTCTTCTCCTTTGCTGACCCTCTGCCTTTTCAAGCAAGCTCATGCCCCTCTCCAAAGAATATCCTCTTCTGGCCACATACTCAACATATGTGAGGTGAAACTTTATTGTCTCTGCCTCCAAAGAGCATTCTGGTTGTACCAAGACATGTTTGTTCTTTGGACTGTCCATGGGATAGTCAGTGCTCTTCTCCAATACCACAGCTCAAAGTCATCAAGTCTTCTTCTATCATTCTTATTCATTGTCCAAAGTATTTTTGGGACATTGTCCAAGCTTCAGGTAAAAGAACCGTCTAGGCAGAGGAAATTACAGGTTCTGGGGAAAGTGAGTTTCTCTGTGCTCAGAGGAAAGCATTATCTTGGTGGGAAGCCCAGATGACTCAGCATTTGTTGACCCTCTGAGGTGAAGGTGTTGTTAAATGAGGAGATGGGTGTTTTTCATCTTAACTTCTTTGTCCCTGCTACCACAGCCCCATGACAAACAAATCACAGAATGGCTAATGGAAGTTTGTACACAACTGATGTTTAAATATGCCCATGTGAAAATAGGTATTATGTAAACCTATTTGATCCATGAGCTAAATGTCCTGTGCTTATTTAGAAAGTACACGCGAGAGATGTTGATTTAGATTGTGCAATTATCCTATTAAAAAGAACCCTTGGCACCCTTTCTCTTCTTCCCTCCTTCCTTAATTTTATTAGGCGCGTTCTCAATTCTTTAGTTTGCAAGATGGATAGCAATCAATCAAGTTTCTCATTCAGACCACATGAGACTTGAAAAAAAAAAATGAAAGAAACCATCAGGGATGAGGGGACCTTGAAGTCAAGCATCACTGCTAGCTTTCGAAGGGAGCTTAAAGTCAACTGGAAACTCTGCGCCACCTGGCTCACCTTTGGTCTGTGCTTTTTGCGAAACTCACAGGTCACTGAAAAGTGTCATTTGCAGAGCTAAGGCCATCTGGACGCAAAGCCAGTGCATGTTGGTAAGGGATTTAGATGTAAAGAGCTCAAGGTTCAGAGGGAGGAACCTGTAAAATAGGACACAGATGCTACTATCCAACCTTAACAACGGAGCTGTGGTGGTGTTGTCAGTAGGAAGTGACACTGCTAGCCCAAAGGTGGCATGTCTCTGGCATTTCAAATTAACTAGCAGCTTCCAGAAAGAGGAGCAGATTCCTTCTGTGCAATTTACAGCCTCTGAAGACCAGATGGGAGGACCAGTTATGAGTGAGTTCCACTCCAAAGAGATGAGGTTTTTAGTGAGAACCTTAACATAGGACCTCTTTCACAAGACTGTCAAGCTAGGTAATGGTTTTGGAGCCTCAAATAAGGTTTAAATCCTGTGCTTTCCATTTGCCACTCAGTGGCGCTAGGACTTTGGGAAAATTCCATTGTATCTCTGAGCCTCATTGTTCCCCTCTGTAAAATGGGGATGATAGCAATTCTTTTCCTGTGGCTTTGGGATGAAGATTAAATTCTATGAAGATTGCTTAGCAAGATACTTGACACAAAGGAAGAATTATTAAAATGATCAATTTAAAAAGTTACAATACCTACAACCAGGAGAAGATAACATAGATGAATGGGACCTTCTAAGACTCAAATCCCTATGCACATCCCAAAACTTCTCTAGTAGGGTAAAAAGGGAAGCCACTGACTGGGAAAAAGTATTCGGTAATATCATATCAGATAAGGGACTTATATCCAGAATTTATGAAATACTTGAGCACCACAACAAGATAAAGGTAAATAATCCAATAGAAAAA